GAGATCAAGTTTCCAGAGCTGACCAGCAGTGCCTGCAATGAAGACAGCGTGTTTATGCAAGCAGTTTGTGGAATTTGTGACTGCAGGGGAAATTTGGACAAAATTACTTCCTGAAAATTTCCAAGGGGCACCAAGTAGCAGCTGGGTTGAGGATGCCGGCATCTCGAAGTCCTCAACGAGGCGTAGGGGAACAGGGAGATAGCCGACCTTTAAAGTTTTTATTTTTTACAAAACACACAAAATGCAGTTTTTAATCTTTGAAAATTATTTTTGAGCATATTTGGGTGGCAGGTGTTCTTATTTTCTTAAAAAAAGACAGGTCAGAAGCTGGAGGAGTACATAAAGCTCTGGATTCCAGAGGGTTTGGGCCTCAGGGCCATCCAAGTGGAGCCCTGGGGAAGGGCACCAAGCAGAAGGCTGGGAAGTGGGGGGACGTTTCAATGGTGTTGTTTTAGGACTATGTATCTATTTTGATTTTTAATAAAATTTTTGAAAACTTACCTCTTTGTCCCATTGGCCTCATTGGAAACTGCCTCTGATAGCGCACACAGTGCTGCACTTTTCCTATCAGAACTTATCAAAAACAAACCTGCTGCTTCTGTGCTCCACTCTGGCCCAGCCTGGCAGGCTTGCCTTGAATAATGGACCCCATAGGGAAACTACTGTGTCCCCACCCCAAGTCCTGTGAACAGAAGACAAGCTGTGTCCTGTGCTAGAGCCAAGGTCTTGCTGGCACCCCGTGCAAGAGCTGCCCCTGCCTGGGAAGGTTTAGGGATGGGAAGGCCAGAGTATGTCAGATCTTCCTAATCAAGTGTAAACAGCACATGTGATAAAAAGGGAACAGTCTGTAACACACTGGCATGACCATAACCTCCTGGGGGGTGGCAAAATGGAGGTGGGGAATAATGAGAGAGATGAGGAAGACCAAGGGACAAACCGCAAGTCATGATTTCATAATTTGGCTTACCAAATATTTATGAAGCTTTCTCAACTACTGGAATGGATCAGGAAGAAAGACAGGGACACAGCCCCATCCTAGCCATTTAGGAATTGCCAGCCAAGGCAAGGGAGAAGGAACAGAGGCAGATCCCATCTTGTTGCAAGCTCTTTCCAAGACACTGGGAGCTGGGGAGCACTGGAAAGGGAGCCATTTGCCCAGCTGGAGAGGTCCCTTGGAGCATCGCTAAGGGGATGATATCTGAGGCAGGCCCTAGAGGGTGAATTGTACTTCTCTAGGCCCCTAAGTGGGGGAAGGGCATTCCAGAGAGGGGTGTGGAAAAAGCCTTAAATGTGTGCTGGAATGGGAATAGCCAAGCTTTTATTAAACTGGGTAGGGCGGCTGGTAAGCTAGGAATACCAGTCCCTTCAAATGCCTACTATTCTAATTATACCCTCTCAGCCTTAAAGGAAGTTGACTTAACCCCTCCTCCAAAGGGGGATTCTAAGGAAGAACAGTGATATGCTGGGTCTGCCAGGGTAGCTGCAAATGGGACCTCTTGAATTTCCAGCCTACCAGAGACCTTCGCCCGGTTTTGCCTCCTTAAAGGCTTGCTTAGCCCAGTCTCAGTGCCCCTATCCCTGTCTTCTGGAGGTAACCCTCCACTCTCAGAGAGGTCACCAAACTTCCTGTGAAGTCTTCAGCCCTGAGAGGCAGACAGCTAGTAAAGTGCAATGACTACCCGGTGTCCCCTTGTTCCTCTCAGTGAGAGAGGATCTGGGCAAGGAGAAGCCACCCAGTGGAGGAGAGTGACGGAAGATGCCAAGGCACAAGAGAGCCCTTTGCATGGGGCACCCAATCTGCCCTCTCCTGACTAGGCCAGCACTGCCTGTCTGAGCCCTTGCTCTGGCCTTAGCTCTCACCACAAGAACTCAAGCAAGCTGTTGACAAGACCTACTGCTGGTTGTCTGAGCTAGGCCTGTTCCTTCTTGGAGATGGAACTGCTTCAGTGGCCTTTGGAACCCTTGCATGTCGTTCTTATGGGAAATACTAGGCTGCAGGTGTCACTTAGTGACAGAGCATCTGTGATGCACGCACAGGAGTGTGGGATCAATTTCTAGCACTGCAAGAAAAGGAAAGGAAGGAAAGAAACAGCTAGCTAAAAGAAATCCCATACAGATAAAATTAGGAGCCACTTTAACTACTTAATAATAAAAAAAAAAAAACACCCCCAAAGGTAAGCATGGCATCTACAAACCAGAAAGGCAGCTTAAGATTTGCTCTGCCCAAAATCATCATAAATGCATAGGGGAAGAAAATTTTAAGAAAAAGAAAGACTGAAGGCCACGGAGATAGCTCAGTGGCATAAGTGCCTTCCTGGCAAGCACAAGGTCCTGAGTTTGATCCCTGGTACCACAAGAAAGAAAGAGAGAGAGAAAAAGAAAGAAAGAA